TCGTTAGATGCTTATCATGTCGGCCGAAGATGTGGTCTGAATTTGATCCAGGGTCGACGAATCAAACGTTAAGGAAACCCAATCTCATTTTAGCCGAATTCTGTATGGGTAGTATTGTGATCATCTGCTGCTAATATTCTCTCTGCGGATTTCCAAAACAATAAATCAGACCCTGGTCCCAGTTTTTCGAGGCAGAAGGATTAGGAGAGATGAAAATCATTCCATGGCACACCCTGGTTTGGGTGTTATGAGTGGACCGTTCGATACCCCTGCGGGACAAATAGTAGCGAATGATGACCCCAAGTATTTATTATCGCGTTTCTTCGTCGTTTTTATAGACCTTGTGACATATTTTTAGGTGATACTCACGTCCAAAGTCGTAGGTTCTGCTACAGGACTCAGCAACTATGGCTGCAGTCCACACTTCAAATTTGTGAGCAAGCTCATCCAGCTCGTTGAAGTTATTGCGCGCATTGGTGAACTGCGTTTGCATCCTCTTCTGACTCAAAACGAAGCAAAGGTCGCTTACGGATTGTAATTCTGAAAGCAAAACCCATTTCTCCTTCTTTCACCTGTGCAGTCCTCACTTTAACGACTCATAGTTGTTGACTGCTCTCCTTCTGACGTGTCACGAGCCGTCTCCAGAGTCCTAGCACCTAATGTGTTGTCGTCTAATCTCCTGATAATTCTACTGCTCTGTGTGGGATAGCAACTCACTAGGTTACTGAAAATTCCTCGTCAGCTCATTACCGGTTTCGTTCTTCTTGGGGATCATCAGATGGGTGCANGATTTGCAAATGAGTGTATTTGTCGAAGGGTTCGTCTTACTTTCATTTCCGTGATACACAGCCACGCTAGAGCTCTTTTAATCCTCAGCTAGTTTTCTCTGGCTATGTCAGGGATTTTACAGGAATATAATTCCCTCTTGTGGTTTCTTAGCGGAAATCCGCCTGAAACTGCAAATTATTAAGGTTAGCTCCTCGTGCGCCCCGAGCACTTCGTGGTGTATGCCACTTTGTGCTGTGTGTGCGGATATAAGCGAGGACGAGAAGGACAAGTTTACTCAGTCACGTGTAACCTGGAGAAAGGTTCCCAGCAAGTTAGAAGCATTAGCAGCATCTGAGGTCCTGTTTTCCAGGTCTTCGAGGTTCATTCTTGACTGAAGTTTCTTTTGAAGTCTCTTTTGGGTGTTCTTTGTGCCTTTAGCCATCCTAGTCTTAAATACCTTCTTGACTTCCTTTCCTTCTCTAGTTTCATTCATCAGAACATCGGGAAATTAGCAACGCCCAGCCTAGTCTTGCACTATATCAACGCAACGGATTTTAGCTTGTAGTCTCGGCAAACCACCACAGTTTCAGACCCTGTGGTAAACCCATGTCATATTCGAAATCTCTGTGCACAGGGTCAGGTGATTTTTATGGTGTGATCAAAGATTTTCTGGACTNGCCTGAATACACTATTCTATGGGGAAGCAAAAAAAAACTGTAAACAGTCGGAAAGCTACCCCAGTGCTCCCTGCATCAGACAAAGGATGATATTGCCTTTTGTGCCACTGCCCTGCGCGTACTACTTGATTCAAGATCACTTCTCAGTACGATCCATAAGTCCTGTGAGACCTGGAGAGACTGTGGCCCAAGGGCCTCTCTTTAGTCCACAAGAAGTTCCAGCGACCAAGAAGAACAACAACTGTCTTAAAGCCTATACTCGTGGGTCTAGGCTGAGCAGCGAGGATTCTCAGTTAATACTGAATGACTTTTCAGTACCCCAACAACCGTCAGCGCCAATATTCCAGGTGAGATCAACGTAGACATCATCTACCTTGATTAACTTTGAGCAGCGAGCCTCGGATGGGACTCCTTCTCAAGTTTAGTCAGTTTTCTGACGCAGAGGTCACAAGAATTCATTTAGCCATGAGCACTTTCCCAAATCCATATTATTATGAGGCCGGTAGGCTATTTTTAGTAAGCCGGTCGAACACTGCGTTCCTAGCAGTGATTCCAGGACTTTCAACTGCACATTCGTAAGAAGCAGCGGTTCGTCTTAGGAAACTACTCACAAGGTTGCTGAAAACTCCTCGACATCCCACGACCGGTTTCGCCCTTCTTGGGGCTCATCAGGTAGGCGCAGTCCCCGAGTTTCCGTCAACCTTATGATCTACTTGA